TTTTTTTTGGAAAGTCAAGACTTTCGAGAAAAATACCAAAAACAGGAGGAAATGAGGAAATTGTTTTTCTTCATTCTTTTCCGATAACCATAACTTTTGATAGAAAGGCTCCCAGATCGCAATTCTGCTCGCGTTTGGGGCAAACTGGGTGCAGGGTAATATACTGCAACTCAAGTATCTTAACTCATAATCCTTATCAATCGTGCACGAAAGTATCTTCGATAATCATCACTGTTTAGCCATCACTATAAAGCCGCTCAACCCCGGTTCAAACGCGAAGAAGAATCGAAAAGTAAGAAGAAATTGGGAAAGAGCTTTGATGACGATGACGAGGAATGGCAGCTAACCATGGTCAGTTGAACACTAGCAGTCTTCCACGGCATCTAGGTGGAATAGTTTTTGTAGGGAGGTTCAGTCACTGAAAGTCCAACAGATGAAGAAAAGAGCGATAGTGATATGAAGAAAGAAAATGCAACAAGTTACAAATGGATTGAAATTATTCATACCGAGGAAGCGCAGTAGGTCCTCAGCACAAGAGTAATATATAAAAATCAAAACTCTATTTAAGTCCTACACTGCTGCTGTCAACAGCAGAGGCTGTCGAAGGTCTGGCGTTAAAAATTCCTTCTGACGCACTTCATCGTTTTGAGAAGGTAGATGAGTAAGTCTTTGTAAATTAAAGATTTCATAACTACAGCTTTTAGATCGGCCTCTTTCTCCCAGGTATTTGTGCCGATTACGTTCCAAAAGCCATCGACGAGTTCAACAGCAGCAGTTTCGCAGGTTAGTCAAGAGGAATTCTGCACCAAGCTTAGATGACTCATCAATCCGCTGACGCCATCGGCATCTCTGGAAACAAATTCACTTCTGTAGGTCTGCTGTCTCTCCGAAACACACATATTTTGATTGAACGCGATCGCAGCCACTCTCTGCGTCCGGTGAACAGCCTATATTCAAGACTGCGAAACTCGCCATTGTGTCGTTCATCCGCTCCTTGTAATGCGTTTTAGGAAAAAATGAGTAGATGTACGAGATTATACGATCCAGCGCCTTGCACTTGTGACTTGCTACTACTCTTAATTTCGCTTACCTAGGTGTGGAAATCGAAGGCCCCATTGGCGTGAATATTACCGCGCTGGAAGCTGCTGGAGTGAAT